TAATTTCTGGAGGGGCATAAAAGTAAATCTTTTCTCCGTTCGAACTAGCATCCGCTCGAATAAATTCCGCTCGAATTGGCATTCGCTCGAAGTGACATCCCTCGAATTGACTGGTTCTCAAAAATTAAATAGCAAATAGGTACAAAAAAACTCAAGAGGCATTGTATAGCGGCAATGCGTACACGGTCTTCAATAACAATGCAAGTATATGACGTATTCCAGATGTCTTACCTTTAGTTATATTATTTAATATTTTCGTTTGAAATGACGAGAATCTTCTCAAAAGTTCGACTTACTACTCACACCATGTTGTTTGTTGATGAACAAGTTGACCCAGTGTGACCACGGTGAAAAAAAATCAATTGTGCTATTGGCTGGAGGGGAACCAGTCAATTCGAGCGAAGGCCAATTCGAGCGGATTCGAGCGGAATTTTTTTCGAGCGGATGCTAGTTTGAGCGGAAGAATCCACTTGTGCGAACAACAACCACCTGTGCGAGTTATATACGAATTCTTCAAAATTTCCTATTTTTGAGCTAAAAATTTGACATTTTCAAGGGGAAGGGGCTCACAACAGTTCCAGAATAGATAAGTGAGTAGCATAACTCAATTACAAATATAATTTGAGCTAAAAATTTGACATTTCAAAGGGGAAGGGGGGCACACAACAGTTCCAGAATAGATAAGTGAGTAGCATAACTCAATTACAAATATGCTTTTTAAATAGAGAACCCCAACCAGAGGCGGATCTGGGGAAGGGGGGTGGTGAATAGGGTGGCTAGCCACCCCACTTTGTTTACTATGAAAAAAATAATGGTCACTCGTCTTGTGTGTGTGCTCTCGTGCACTCTAGTAAAACATACACTTTCTTCTTTTTTAAGCTGAAAAGTGCGCAATTCTATTAGTTTTAACTTGTTAACGGCCACCTTGGTAGTCGGAGTTGCCAAGACTGTAATTCAAACATGGAGTAATTATCAAAAAGTACTAAAAACCTTTCAGGACCTTAGTAATTAGAGCATTTTTTGCATTTAAAACAAACAAATACAAGAATAC